GCTCGACTCGGTGGCTTGTTGAGCTCAACTCGTGAGCTGGCTCGTTAAGAGCTCATGAGATGTCTCAACTCTCAAGATTGTGGCTAGAGAGCCAACTCGATTACCGAGTTATGAGCGAATCGATCTATATGAGTTTGATTTTGATAATTCACAGGATTGTTAAATTATATATCTCACTCTATATGAAGTTTAACACGTAGATTACGTGAGCAAATATGTTTTATTTAATTTTATAAAGCAAATATGTATCATAGATTGCTTCGATACTGTGAAATAACATAATTTTCACAAATTAAAATTTATTAACTAAATAATTTGATACCACAAAGTATAACATAAAATTAGTTAATATTGAACACTTAACTATTATTATTATTTTCTTCATCTTTGCATTAATCACATGTATCATGTTTTACATACAAAATGAATATATCAAATACGAGCCAAATTTTATTAAGCAAGCTAGCTCGCAATTCGACTCGACTCGGCTCGTTAATAAACGAGCCGAGCTCGAACTCGGCTCATTCGCCAGTCCAAATCACCACTGCCATCAACGAGCCGAGCTCGAACTCGGCTCATTCGCCAGTCCAAATCACCACTGCCATCAGTCCATCAATGTTGTTGCGCCCCTAGGCCATCCCCATTTCACCACCATCATGTTGTTGCTGCCAGTCAGAGAATTTTGCCCAAGTTCAATTCTTCCCAGCGGTGGCTTGGCGATCGAGTACACCAAGTAAGGTGAAGAAAACGAGTACGAAGGAAAAATAGATTAATGTACTGTCCGCTACTGTTGGACCGATCAACTGAAGATAATGATGAAATTACAATTCCGATAATACCTTGTTTTCCTGGCCGTGAGAACTATTCCACAAAATAAAATATTTATTTTCAACCAGTTTTCCCGGTCGAAATAATAGGTTTAACCAGTTTTAATTAGAAACTAGCTGGTTCCACGGCCCCTTGGCCCAAGGTAGTTTCAGAAATTGGTATTCTTATTCTAATTATATTACTCATTGGCATGTTTGCGACCATGGAAAGAGGTAGGTCAACAACACCATAATAATATGATGGAAAGTTTTATCCCATTACATTACAAAAGAAACAGTAGTAAAACATAAACACTATAATGGACAATCCAAATGAAACCATTAGCTCTAAATCTAGCCACACTATTACCAAGCACCCTAATGCCTTTAGAGTGAACATGAAAAAAATCAAAAGAATGCTTACCTGGCTCCAATTCTTGATGGTGAAAATGGAATCCACCAAGAGATTTCATAAAGAAAACCCAATTTGGATTGCCCTTAGACAAAAAAACCACAGTGACACCAAAGGTGATGAATCCCTGACCGAGAAAACCAAAACCAACAATGTCCAAATCAAGTCGATGAAATATATAGGAAAGTTTTTTTTTCTGATAAATAGATTTGTTAATAAAATGACAAAAAGAAAGGAAATACAAAGCATACAATCTGGTATAGAAATCTCGGATACAAACAAAAGAAAAAGGCAAACAACATATGCCTAGTAACACCAATAGGTAACAACTTTTGTCAATACCCCTACCAATGTGAAATCCTACCAAATCACTCTGCTACACTAAACACACAATGACTTACGGCTCTGCACTTTCTATCTCTTCAATATGTATAAGTCAATTCTCATGTAACCTCTCCATTATAACGATTTTTATCCTTCTCGATGACAAACACGATGATTGGTCCTTTCTTACTCCTTCGTGGCAACTACATGAAATTTTGCATCAGTACACATTAATCCAAACGACCATTCCATTGCTGCAATTTATGGCTTGAGATAATATCACTTCAGTCATAATACGGATTTAAATGAAATGAAAGAAATGATTAGTATAATAGCCTTGTAAAATTTAGAGTATCAATGACGATTCCTCTCTTCTCCTCGGTGGCTTCGTCAATAAAATGAAATTGACGGCTATCTCTTCTATATGACCTTAGTATGGTATTTTGTATAAATCGTTTATGTCTTACCCATTTTTGCATTGCAACTCCAAGAGCTAATTTGCTGGGGCTCTCTTCTAGGTAAACTGTTTGTATCAACATCAGACATGACAAAAAAATTGCTTTTGTCGAGATACTATCAGGAACTTGTGCTGCTCTAAAGAAGCCGAAATCGTTTCTCGGACCTCCATCAACCCCCAATCAATTTAACATGGGTCATTGCTCTCTTACCATCTAAATTAAAGAGGAAGCTCATGTTAGTCTCTTTCATAGCTTAACTTGACAATTTCTTAGAGGACATACAATCACAATTCACAATATCAGAATAACCACCTCAGATAGTACAATCTTATGGAAACAACACTAATGAAACACCCAAATTAAAATTCTCTACATGTTTCCTAAGAGGGTGTGCATGTGCAGATTAAGATAAATAGAAGAACTAAGGAGGGAGCTTACTAGGTTTGCGGTTTTGATGAGCAAAAATCCCGTCAATAAATTCCAGGTGGAGATGTCCAATCGGTCGGGTCTAGAAATGCGTATATTTCAACAGGCTATACTACAAACACAAAGAGTTCGGTTTGTCCTTTGCATGACAACATATGCTCACCATATATTTATTCCTTTTAGAGAGAAGAGTATCAAACCACCTTGTATCTGCTCCAATTATTGCAATCACTCGTGCTCTTTATATTGTTGTAATTAGAACTCTACTTTTAAATCTGGCAGCAATTAACCACTATCACGAAACATCATATTGTAAAAATTTATCTGCAATCATGAGGTTATTTCACTCAAAAGAAAATCATGTTTTATATGTTGAAGATCAACATTATAGTTTGAATAGTTTAATTCGGTAACGAACTCAGCTCCTACATATAAAACCTATGTAAAAGTGGTATAATTGAAGTTATTCCCTATGTTAACACTAAACAAAATAATCTTTGTTTACTAGAAATTAACCACAGAAACAGTACAAAACATGAAAATGATGTTACTAAAAAGGAGTATCATAACAAAAGCAACAAAAGTATAGCTATGTATCTTTAATCAACTCAAAAGTCAACTTAGAAAAGCAACAAAATGAATTGATGGTTAAGAGATCACACATTACTGTCAAGAAACTAAATAACTCACCGGTCACTGTCAGCTCCCCAAGCAAGAACACTCAACATTTCCATATTTACCCCTTAAAAAATTGCTCTGCTTTAAAAATATAGGTGGAGGAGGTTAGGAGGTTGTCGAGTCTGGTGGGAAGGTTTGGTGAGACGGCGATGGTTGAGCCTTTAGTGGATCGGGACTTTATTTAGACCCGTTTACATTAGTTACACATTTACCATCCGCGTTCAACAAACCAACATCACTCAATCTTTCCATATTTACCCCTCTTAAAGACACATGTGCTCCATTTTTACTCAAAACTTGTGTTCAAAAATATTGTTGTTTTATGATAGTTATAAAATTTAAGTCTATGCTAAGAATTCTGCATCGCTTCTACACATTCAATACTGTAATTCGATATGCAATATTTGCACCAATGACGTTAGGGTTGCGATTTTAAAGTTATTCTCCTTTTATAAAAAATAAATAGAATTAATTATTAAACTCAAATTAAAATAATGAAAATGTGACAATGTGAAAATAGAAGTATCAATACCAACAGAATATGTACGGGAGAGTTTGTGGGTTAGCTAACCATGGTGAATATTTTCTAAGATTTTTCAGATATAAGCTTCCTGTATGTTTTTATTTGAAAAGATTAAACAAATTTGTTTAGTGTAACTGGTTATATTTTTTGTATTTTTTCAAAAAAAAAAAATGTTCAAATCTAATCACTGATGTATTTTTTTTCCTGTAAATAAGAAAATAATAATAAATGACTATGAAGACAAATCAATCCTTCCTACTTTCTCTATGGATGTAAGGTTTTGTAATGGAGGAAGTACCTTTCCCATTTCACTATTATATTAGGTGTAGCGAAAGTAAGCGCGGTGGTTGAGTGTTTAGTGGGCCGGGCAGCTATTTGGACATGTTTACATTAGTAGCGTCTTTTCCATCCGCATTCGGCAAACCAACAACACTCAAACTTTCCATATTTGCTCAGGCGTAACAATAGAGATGGAGGAGATTAGCCGTTTATTGAATTGGATGGGAAGTTTGGAGAGACGGCGATTTGTTTAGTTGGTCGGGGCACTAATTTGGCCCATTTAAATTAGTAGAGTCTTTTCCATGCGTGTTCGGCAAAACAACATCACTCAACCTTTCCATATTTACTCCTCTCTTAAAGGCACATGTACTCCATATTCATCCAAAACTTCTGTGTTAAAAAATATCGTTGTTTTGCGGTAGTTATAAAAATTATGTATGTTAAGAATTTTACATCGCTTCTGCACATTCAATAGTGCAATTCGATATACAATATTTGAACTAATGACATTTGAGTTGCGATCTAAAATTATCCTCCTTTTCTAAGATAAAATGAAATGAAATGAATTATTAAACTCGAATTAGAATAAACAAAATATCAAATAAGAGAGTATAAAATACCAATAACAAATATTTACGGGAGAGTTAGTGAGCTAGCTAACCGTGGTGGAAAAGTCCTATGATTTTTCAAATTTAAGCTTCATGTATGTTTTAATTTAAAAAGAGTTAACAAATTTGGTTAGTGTAACTGGTTATGTTTCTTATCTTTGTTCAAAGAGACCATGATTTAAATCCTTTAAATGATGTATTTTTTCATGTAAATAAGAAAATAATGTTCAAAGAGACCATGGTTCAAATCCTTTTAATGATGTATTTTTTTTTATATAAATAAAAAAATAATAAATGATTGTAAAGACGAATCTACCTTTTTTACTTTCGTCTAGATGCAAGAAATTTGAAATGAGAGTTCTAGTTTTCCATTTTTCTTTTATTTATTGGGTAGAGATTGGTTAGAGATGAAAGGTGTGATGATTTAATATCATATATATCAACGGCTGAAAATTAGCCGGCACGGGTTCGTTCACGGCACTACAGAACTCGCCAAACGATAATATCAATCCAAAGCTTGCTTGCATTTACAAAGATCTCTCTGCAAGCCGAGAATTGGTTGGACCGCCGTTAAACTCCAGATCGCAAGTGGGTTCTGTTCTGTTCACTCCTGCGGCGGCGTCGCGTGGAACCGTAAGCCTCGCATCTCTGAAACAAAACTTTTGAGATGTGTCTGTCTAGGTAGTTTTATTTTAAGGGGCACCACCTTTCTTCCTCCGTCCAACTTTGTCGTTCCTATTTTGTTTAGGTAAAGGATTGGGGAAATCCCAAAACAGAGAGGGCTTTGTGGTTACCTTTTCCGTTTCGGTCTTGGAAATCATCATCGACCTGAATTCAGTCAATTATAAATAGGAGACGAGACAAGACCGGCGATAGAGTATCAGAGATAAGGTGTTACAGAAAGTTGTAGTCTTCGAAGAAAGACACAGACCACCATCTCATCTGCAATACGTATAATGTGTATCAGTGAGATCATCCCCGCAGAACCAGATTGGTCAGCTTTGCCAGATGAGACATTGGGTATGATTGCTCATCGTCTTATCAAGCTGAAGGATGTAATCCAATTCGGAGCTTCTTGTAAGCCGTGGAGACGAGCGGTGCCAGCCAAGTTTAGGCAGTCCATCCCTTGGTTGATGCTTCCCTATTGCAGCAGTGGCAACTACTGTAGTAGTAATTCTGCTACCATGCTTGGCTGCAAAGGTACACATACCTGTAGGTGTTTTTACGATCTCATGGAGCAACAATTTCATCATATAGAGTTACCCCAAGGTTTGAACAAAACTTGTCGTGGTTCTGCCTTCGGGTGGATGTTCATGATGGATAGGACACCATCATTGTTATTACTCAACCCTCTTACTAGGTCTACCATCCCTCTGCCCCCAATCACCAGTTTTCCTGATGTGTTGGGATTCTTCCCTGACAAAGTCGGCAAAGAATATTTGTATTTAGATAAGGATGGATTGCGGATAGCTAAGGGGAAAAAGGAAATTGAGCATAACTACATACATAGGGTTGCCCTTTCAGCCGAGCCCACCTCTGAGGAATGTGTCCTCATGGTCATTCGCTCCCCTACTGATCGCACCCTAGCATTTTGCAGGCCTACTACTGCTACCATCGACAACCAAAAATGGACATTAGCTCCTAATGGCAGTGGAAGTGATGGGGATTTATCCAAACTGATTTGCTTTGAGGATGTTGTGTATTGGAAGGGTCAATTTTATGCCCTTGTCAATGGCGGGAGAGTTTTTGTTTGTGATCTTTCTTCCCCGAATTGTCCAAGATTGTCGTTGTTTCTTGACGTGCATCGCTCCTGTCGGATTAAGTCTATCAACAACTATTTACTAATCAGTCCAACAGATGAGTTGATGATGGTGACTAGGAATGTAAGCCTTCATGGCGACAGTCGAAATCGTGATGGCGGTAGCATTCATCAGAATCGCTACGATTCGGTTGATGGTGATGAGGACTTTAGCGATGATACTGAGTGGACAGATGATGATGGTGACGATAGTGATGAGGACAATGACCTTCCAGCGGATGAGTCCGACCGTGAAGTGGACCATTATGGTATGGATAGCGAGTCAGATGACAATGATAATGACGGCCACCCCATTAGAGAGATTCAGTTGTTGACCGATGATTTCAGAGTTTTCAAGATGAGGGGGGATAGAAAAGGGTGGGATGAGGTCGAAAGTATTGGGGATTTTGCTCTTTTCTTGGGTTACAGCTCTGCTACTTGCATCTCCACCAGAGACCACCCCGAATTGGCTCCCAATTCCATTTATTTCACAGATGATATGACTGAAAAGCATTGTAAGCGGAGGCTTGCGGGTGCCGACATGGGTGTTTACGACCTCACCACTCGGAATTTTACACCATTCTATTGTACAACCTCAGTTCATAATAACCCTTCATTTATCTGGCCACTGCCTGTATGGGTCTTACCATCCAACTTTTAGACGCCCCTACCTAACCAACGACTAGGAAGGAGATGCAAGCCATCAATTCTCAAGGGAGCTGTATGTCTAGACATACCTTTGTATCTTTTGCTTGAATTTAAGTGGTCAAACTCTTATTTTGCAATCATTGTGGTCTCTATTTCCGCTGGTTGTTTATTTGTTCTGTTTCTTCTCGTTTTGATTCCTTGATGTGCTTGTTAAAACATTATCTGTTACCACATAGCAATGCAATAGTATTAGTAAAGGATGTTAAAGAGTTATCACCAGGGCGGAGTGTATGGCGGTTGGCTCACTATTAGCTTCCTTGTCAATGCATGTTTCGTTAGAAACCAGGCAGCCAGATTCTGTTGGTGAATTCTGGACTGTGTGGGAGCTACAAGGTTGACGTGTTTGCCATACTGATTATCTTAGAACTGCATTCTAAGTTTGAAATGTAATATATATTCCTTATAAGATGAGAGCGACTTTCAGATGGATAGCAATTGATTAGAGGAGGCGGTCTTAGCTTAAAGTGTTTCCTAGCTAGATGCAGACTGTGTTTGGTACAGCATGCATAAATATCCATCCGGCGAGCTCACTCGAAGATGTTATTGTGTAGTAAACAGTTGCATCAAAGAGATTTTTTTTTTTTTTTTTGAAAAATCAGGATTAAAGCAGTTGAGGCGGCCTGTGGCTTTCTGCAATTGTCAAGAGGATTTGCTAATGGAAGGGTTTTGTTCTGAACTTGAGGACTAATTGAAGTTCGGTTTCAGGTGAATGAGAGAGACTTGGTTTAGCGTTGAATTCTGTGAATGTGTAATGGGGCAAGTGTTAACCATACAACCTTTCGCTTATAATGAATATATGGCTTACACAAGTGGATAAATGATTTATATCTAAGATGATTCTATCAGTGGGTTATCCACTGCTTCATTTCAGGGAAAGCAACTACAAGTGATTTCCCAAAACAGAGTCAAATTTTGGTTTGCATGATTAGTTCAAACACACTACTTAGTGCTGTCACTACTACATACCCTACTTTATCCATTGCCTACTCTCCCCTGCTTCAATTAATAGGTTTTCATTTAGAGAACTCAATTACATTTTCTGCCTTAGCCAAATGCTCTTTGTTCATGTTCTTAAAGTCTGTTTCTTATGCTGTCTAATGCCATTTATGTCTATAATAATTGAAGTGATTGTGTGTGCAACAACTACGTATGATGTAGTTACTATAGTATTGGGCAGACCTTATATAGGGTTAATTATCTGGGTTTCGTTTGAGAAGAACAAACTATATGAATGGATTTGATGATGACTGGAAATATTTTCACATTTTGTGCAGTGCGCTAAATTGGTTAGTGCTTTCAAGTAGATTACCTTGTTGTAATTTCGGAATTCAGTTTGTTAACACAAGTTTAACTGCAGATTGTGCATATATGCACTTTGGATAACTACGAGACTGTCCCAATACCAAAACCCGTTTCTTGCTTTTGTTCCTTTCAGCTTCTCGGTGCTCATGTCACATTTCTCATATATCTTTCCTGCTTTCTACGAGGTTAGTGCTTTCAAGTAGATCACCGCGTTTTATTTTTGGAATTCAGTTGTAAACTCGATTTTTAACTGCAGATTGTGCATTTCACTTTTGATCACTACGAGCCTGAGTTTCTTATTGAAAATGACGGCGAGAGAGGTTAATCACACCATAATTGGTTTAATGAAGTGGTTAGAAGCGAAAATGATTGGCCTAACTTCATCATTAGCTGTTAAACATAAACGTTCTGTTTCATTCTTAGACAATTTGGAATTTTGTTGGAACAGATGGGGGAGATAAGGGACAAAGCTATTCCGGAGCTTCAGAACCAGTTAGCAGCAAGGCGGGCTGTTGGTAGGGAATTCAATACTCTTGGGAAACCTCGAGCTTGAAGATTGTAGCCTCCATGTCCATGCTAGTCCTGGTCATATTGTCAAACCGATGATAGTTTTGAATTGAGCGAGAGATAAGTGTATAGGTGTTCCCAGGGGCGTCGGTTCGGGTCAGTTAACCACTTATAGTTTTACAATTCTCAAAGTCCATCCATTGAAGACAAGATAACAGCCACTACATTATCATTCCAACTCATGACTCTATATTCACATCAGTGTTGGTGCAGCGAGACTGATTCTTCGTTTCTGGGAAACTTAGTTCGAACCCTAGCCTAAAAGAAATGAGTTATATGAGTTGTTTGTGACGAAATATTTTCCCCGTTGAATTAGAAGCATTTTATTAAGACAAGGCAAAAAACCTTGAGGATGCTTCCAATTACAACGAGAGAGGCCTCGCCTCTATCCCTCCACCCAACTACAAACTATGACGGGAGATAAAAACTATGCATACTATAACCAACAAACTAACCAGCTAGCTACAAAATATACCACAGACTCTCATATCTACTTCGAGCCCTAATCTGCCCCTCACTATCCACATCAGATCAGCTCTAATTATGAGAATCACATCTTCTGCAGATCCCTGTTTCTCCCCATGAACTCTCTTGCACCTTTCATACCATATATGAGCCAAAACAAGACACCATAAGATGGAACCAATTCTCCCTGCTGCATTGTGTTGCCTTGCTCGAGCACAAGCTGCAGCAAGAGTGTCATCCCACCTCGAATGTCGAAACCAGGAAAGATCTATGCCACAAATAGCCACCTGTGCAGAGAAAGCACACGGGAAAAACAAGTGCTCTCGTGACTCCCCTGCATTTCCACACAAAACACAGGTATCATGAGGTATTTTCCCCCACTTGACAAGCTTATCCTTAGTGACTATAGCATTTTTGATAGCTAACCAAGCTATGAAACTGAATCTTGGGATATGATTTCTATTCCACAACAAGCTATACCATTCAACTGCTTGCTGGGTATGGCGAAGAGAACACCATACTTTTTTCATAGAGAATGTCTGCATTGGCTATCCATCCCAGAAAATCAGAGTTCCACGCTTCTGCACAAAAGGATACAGAAGAGTGATGCATTACGAGTTCGGCCCACGAATTCGGCTCGTCAATAATTCTCCTTATTAGTTTTATTATTATTATTCGGTATATTCTTTTAGTTATTGTTTCGGTTTAGGTTATTTACTTGATTCATAATCGGTTTAGGATTTGTTTTCTTGTTCGGGAAGGGAAGGGTTTGTAGGCTTAGCCTATATATGTACGTTGTTTTACGTTTTATTTACCAGAATAAGAATAACCCAGTTTTCTTTAGTTTTTCTCCCTATTTCTCGTTCGAAAAAACTCGACGCATGAGGCTGTCACGCGTCAATTGGTATCAGAGCCTGGTTTCAAAATAACCCAGGAGCCAGCCACGATGCAGCCGAAGAAGAACACGTCTTCTTCTCTGAAAGCCGCCGCCGCCGCCATCGGCCAACAACTCCGAGACACCATGGATCGAGTGGCCGACTTCGATCACCATCTGCGAGCCGCCGAGGAAGAGCGCGGTCAACTCCACATTGACGTTGATCGCCTCAAGGACGGTCAATCCATGCTACAAGGCGAGATCCGCCAGGTGATCGAGACGCTACGCGGCGAGATCAGGCGCGAGTCAGAAAGAAACGGCAACCTGTTGCGCCGAGAACTGGAGAGCTGTATGAAAAGGATGGAGACCCTCATTGCGGGAGTCGCCGACAAGGGAAAGGCTGGCGAGAGGCGCACCACTGATCAGATTGCAGCCGAGGAGAAGATGAAGGACGTGGAGTCTGCGCAGGCAAACCCCAAAGAGATCGGTCGGGCAATTCTCCCTACGCCGACATCAAAGGGACCGCCGACAGGAAAGGAGGGTTGCGGCGGGGCCACCCCTATCACCAGCATCGCATGGGGCAGCCTGGCCCTCGACGATGATGACGGAGCGGACACTGAGCTGGTCAAGCTCCCCGCGACATTTCGACGAGCGACCCAGACGAGACGGACGGCCGCGCGGAGTTGGGGAGAGCAGCGGAGCTGTACCCACCAGGATCGATTCGGGAAGGGAGCTGTACTGGGAAGGAGAAGGGAACCAGACCAATTAGGAGTTGTTCCCCAACACGGACTGACCCGTAAGTAGGCTGGACCTCATGAGCGAGGAACAACGAGCCATGGCGATGGCCTAGGAATCAAGGGGGAGTGTTAGTGTTGTGGTATATGATCCACGATTGAATCTCTCCCAACAACTCGAGTTATTGGGATCAACTGGTTCTTGACATGGTATCAGAGCCTTCTATGACCGAGAGGTCTTGTGTTCGATTCCCGGTGACCCCCATTTGTTAAGCACATGGTATTCTTGTCTTCAGACCTGTGCAAACTTCAAGCCCTTGTGAGTGGCTTTCGTTTGAGGGGGCGTGTTAATGTTGTGGTATATGATCCACGATTGAATCTCTCCCAACAACTCGAGTTATTGGGATCAACTGGTTCTTGACAGGGAGCAGGCGGCTGGCCAGGTCACTCCGAGGCAGGTTCGGGCGTGCAAGGTTCGCGAAAGGAGGAAGGTCGAGAGATCGGGAAGGGTCGAGCTAGGGAGGATTAGGCGGCGGCGTGGTTTCGAGGGAGGTCGGCGACCCTCGAATTCCCGAAATTCACCAGGCAAGAAGAACCTTCCTGGTGGATGTCTCGTGTCGAGAAGTATTTCCGGTACCAGGATGTACCCGAGGAACACAAGGTATCCCTTGCATTGTTCCACATGGAAGGCGATGCAAATCAATGGGTAATGTGGGTTGAGAAGGAGTTCAACCAGGGTGGGATGGTGATGAACTGGGAGGATTTTCGGGCGGAGTTCTGGAAGCGATATGGGGCTTCAGAGAAGGCTGCTGGGCACGAGGCTTTGGCAAAATTTCGTCAGACAGGGTCGATGGAGGACTATCAACAGACCTTTGAGCGATTGTTGAATCATTGCAGGGGATGGAGTCGAGAGGCGATAATGGGCACATATATGGGCTGTCTCAAACCCGAAATTTCTGCCTATATACGTGCCTTTGCGCCAAGAAATACTGGAGAAGCTTACCGCCTGGCCAAGGTTCGAGAGGAGGAAATTCGGCTCGAGAGAGGAGCTGTGCGGGGAGCACCGCGGGGTCCTGCTGCGACACCACCAGAGCCAGCTCCGGTTCAAAACCAGGTCCCAGTCCCTACGCCGCCGGGTCATTCGTCATCTAACCCTAGAAGAGGCTGCACGACGTCGTCGCGATGGCCTCTGCTACAATTGTGATGAACGATTTACATTTGGTCACCGTGTGCTAATAACCAAGTGTTTGCGTTGATCGGGGATTTTGGAGAAGGAGGAGAAGGGTGGGTCGGCGAGGTTGCTCCAAGGGGGGAGGATTGATGCATTACTAGTTCGGCCCACGAATTTGGCT